TGTTATGCTATTAACACATGCTATTTGTGTTAATTATACAGATGGGGTAATTTAAAAAACAATAAACATTGGGTTTAGAAAACCAAAGCTTGAAAATTACTTGAAATAAATAAATACAATAGGCTCTGGTAATTAAATTATCAGATCTTATAAAGCTCTGTCCTATCTCCTATTATCTTTAAATTGCATAGCATGATACCAACTGATACAAGATTTGGATAAGCCTACTGTTTGGGGGCTGAGGTTCTCCAGATAATACTAAATGACAATTATACAGAAAACAGTTTGCTGTCCTCTAGAGGTCACACTAACGTTTACAGGCCTTTTGTGATAAAATGGAAGTTTGGAACAAAAAACGTCAGTTGTATTGGCATCAGTGCAATTGGATCACAGTCTAGATGATTTAACGAACTGATGAGCAGTAATGGTAGAGAATCACAGACATGACTTTAGAAGAGTATGTGATGGTTAGCAAAACAAAATTTAAGCTGAGGGAAAGAGAATATTAATAAAGTTAAACTTAAACTGTTCCACTTTAACTTCCTTTGATACAAGAGAGGGGGGAAAGGGAATACACCATCAGGCTTTCAAGATTCAGATTCTATGACAGTGGTGGAGAACCTATGGCACGGGTGCCAGAGGCGGCATTCAGAGCCCTCTCTGTGGGCACGCGCGCCATCGCCCCAGTCCTAGGTCTTCAACTGAGTTTTATAAAACCTTTTTGCTTTAGGCCTCCGCTGCCTTGTGCAAAAAAAAAAAAGGTTCAATCAGTCAATTGCAACTTCTTGCAAGAAAAAAAAGATCTTGCAAAGTTGGAATGATTGAACTTTTTAGTCCCACCCAGTCTGCCATTACCACTGCAGCCATGCCCACCCAATGGGCCATGCCCACCCAATGGGCCATGCCCACCCAATGGGCTATGCCCACCCAATGGGCCACGCTCACCCAATGGGCCACGCCCACCCGGCACTCGACAATGCATAAGTGGGTTTTGGGTTGCAGTTTGGGCACTCAGTCTCTAAAAGGTTCGCCATCACTGTTCTATGACTCATATCTATCAAGTATTTCTTGTGGAGTCTGTTTCCTGACTTGGTGTAGCTCTAAGAGCTGACATCAGTCTTGAAAAGCTAACTTTTTCTTATGTTCCCCAGTTTTCCTGGCCTTAAATCAGGGGTCTGCAACCTGGACAACTTTAAGACTTGTGGACTTCAGCTCCCAGAATTCCTCAGCCAGCCTTAAATTATGTTTTAGAATTATCACATTTCTTTTTTAAGGTCAGCTCTGTGATTCTCCACAATAATAAAAGCAGCATGAGCAGAGACACTGTGTTGTGTTTTTTGTTCCAGGAAATCAGTTTTCAACTTTTTTAAACCTATGATGTCATTCATCTAGCCCCATGGTGGTGAACCTATGGCACGCGTGCCACAGGTGGCACGCAGAGCCCTCTCTGTGGGCATGCGCGCCATCGCCCCAGTCCTAGGCCTTCAGCTGGGTTTTATTAAAACCTTTTCACTTTAGGCCTCTGCCGCCGTGTGCAAAAAAGAAAGGTTCAATCAATCAATCAATTTCAACTTCTCGCAGGAACAAAAAAGATCCCACAAGGTTGGAATTGATTGATTGAACTTTTTAGTCCCACCCAGTCTGCCCTTACCACCGCAGCCACACCCACCCAATTGGCCACACTCACCGAATGGGCCATGCCCACCTGGCACCCGACGATACATAAGTGGGTTTTGGGTTGCAGTTTGGGCACTCGGTCTCTAAAAGGTTCGCCATCACTGATCTAGCCATTGCAGCTAAGATGGTTTTGTTAATAGATAATACCTTGTACTACCTTCAGCTAGTTCACCAACAGCAGCTGTTTCCAAACACAGATATCTTGGCTACAATTATTCATGCACCAGTAACCTTTTTGGTATATTATTATCACATAGAGTTGCTCTTGAATGACTCTATTCAAATTCATTAGCAGGAATTCTGAAATGGGTTTCTTCTAAAATGTTTACCATCCAAATACCTTAAAATATTTCATACAAAAGAGAAGACCTTTTCTATGTGTTATCTGACTCTAGAATATCTAAGGAAATTCCATTGATGCAAATACTATGAATTTTTCACAATATTGCACAATAATTTTGTTTGCCCAACAATTTTAAATTGAGTTTCTTATTCTTGTCTATACAAGTGGACTATGGACATGTTGATTATTATGTTATGTGTGAATAGGCTATATTATTTCAGGTATATTATACTTTTATTGTTCATCACCATAGAGTTCATTAAAAAAAAGAATAAGGATAGAGTCAAGGAAAAATAAATAAATTTATAAATGACTTCAGAGTTGTGTCTCTGCAAAAATATATTAGAAGTAGTTTTACCTATTATTGATAACTCCATACATGAAGTTGCACTAAATCTTACAATTTCATTAAAAATGGTTGCTTGATATTTTAGACATTATTTTATTTTATTTCTGTTCCTTGCTATTAGTACTTTATTTGCTAGTTGTTAGCTAGTCCTTTAATACAGCAAAAACTACTTATCTTGAATTATATATAAAAGAAATATTTCTATATATCTA